TTTTACTACATAATATTAGATAAATTAGGGGTAATGTTTTGAAAGCCTTTTTAAGTTTTGCAACGTGTCTTCGATATATTAAAATATCTTTTAGCTTTCTTGGCTGATTCTGGGAGAAAAATAAAAATTTTTTTTTCTTTTTGGAAGATATAATATTATGTAATCCCCCAATTTAAAAAAAAAATTGAAATTTCTCTCTAGAACAAGTACGAAGAATATACTTTGAAATCTGATTGAACATTCGTTTTTAAAAATTTTCTTGTATTCAGATTTGGATACAGTTTTTTGGGCTTAACACATTTTAAAAAATGATTCAATGACAAATTACGAATATTATTTTTACTAGAAAATTGTTGGTAATTAATACTTCATTGTAACAAAATATCGAACAAAAAAAAGGTACCTTATATTAAAAAAAAAAAGTTTACTACAAAGTATTTGCACAATAATTTAAACATCTGTTTAAAATAATTTTACACTTTGTATTATACTTCACGAAATTGTGAATTAGTAGTTTGTCTTCAAAAAGTATACCAGATCTAAGAGTGTTGGGTCTTAACTCGTTTTATAATGATAAGGAAAATAAAAAATAAGATACGTTGTCAATAAACTTTTTGGATGTACAGGTCAAATTTGAACAAAAGCGTATCTTAACTTATCGAGGAATAAATTTAGGAACTCTACACTTTGAATCCGCGTAATAATGCGAAATTTTGTACAACAGTTCATGGTACTTTATACTTGAATGCTGTGCCATTAAAATTTTTATTCACAAAAATTCATGACAAACTTTTATCGAAAAAAAAAAAAATATATTAAATCGCTTATGCCGTGTACTTGATATTTTTTATGTTAAAAATACACAGTATCTACAATCTTTGGGTTTGACGGTAAAAAACTGCATAGCTTAAAATTATTTAATTTTTTCATAACACATTATTGTTGATATTTTTTGAAGTACTAATAAAGAGAGCGGACGTTTTTGGGTTAAGTTAATACAATTTTTTTTAACACGAAGTCTCATGGAGGGATTCCCCTCACCGCCTGCCCCATGTGAGAGTGCCCCAACGTAATAAGATTAAATTTTGTATTTTTTTTATTAGTATCTCAAGATATGGCCAAGTAGTTGTAGAGTCTTTTTTATTTTTCATAACTTCATACGATTCCTATATCTTGAGAAATTCTTAATTATTTTACTCTTCCAAATTTTCATGTCATTGATAATTAAGTATATTTTCTGAAATATTTAAAAACTTACGATGTGTAAAAAAAAATAGATGTGTACACTTTTAAAATCGGAGTTGTATTACTTCAACAAAGTTTTAAATGATAGATGCGGTAAATAATTTATTTGTTTGAATTATATTTCACAATTAATAATCAGAAGCCGTACACTTATAAAATAAAAGGATTATATCGAATTAAATAGGCAAAATTATTTTTACGTAAATTAGTTATCAAAATGTAATTCTGAAAAGTAAATCTTTCTAAACTTTTCAAACGTAATATCGAACGGTCACCAATAGAATCTCGTTTTGAAATAATTCTAAAAATAAATCCTATTTTAAATCTTGGAAGGAGGTAACAACGATTTTCTACTAAATAAAAAACAAGTGAAATAAAATATAAAAATTAATCATTGTATTTCAATTTTTTTCTTCTGTTGAATATATTACATTTCAACGATTAACTGCCATTAGGGCTTTCTGTTCACAGACCCATACTTTGAATAAACAATGGTAATAATGTAAATTATCATCACGTCCTCCAGTTAAACTTTTTATTGCAATATTAAGATACGATAGTAACAGCGGTGGTGAAAGAGAAATTCAGAGAACCATGCTGGAACTGCTAAATCAATTGGATGGTAAGAAATCGTTGCATCTTTATTAAATTTTTTTTTTTTTATAAGCTGAAAAGCATTATCTTTGACTTTGGTTAACAGGTTTTGATAGCAGAGGAGACGTCAAAGTCGTTATGGCAACTAATAGAATCGAAACACTGGATCCTGCTCTAATTAGACCTGGTCGTATCGATAGGAAAATTGAATTCCCATTGCCGGATGAAAAGACTAAGAAGAGAATTTTCAATATACACACAAGTAGAATGACTTTAGCTCCAGATGTAAATTTAACTGAGTTGATCATGGCAAAAGATGATTTATCAGGAGCAGACATCAAGGTACTTTTTCTATACTCTTATCAGTATTTTTTTTTGTATTATGTTGTTCTTTATTCAATATTATGATATAAAATGTAATTGCAGGCAATATGTACTGAAGCTGGGTTAATGGCGTTGAGAGAACGGCGAATGAAAGTTACCAACGAAGACTTTAAAAAGTCAAAAGAAAGCGTATTATACAGAAAAAAAGAAGGGTCGCCAGAAGGTTTATATTTATAAAAAATGTATTTTTTTTTTTT